CACACACACACACACACACACACACACACACACACACACACACACACACACACACACACACACACACACACACACACACACACACACACACACACACACACACACACACACACACATATATATATATTAATACTCGTGAAGATTTGGTTAGTCGTTTTGTGCATTTGTACGTGTGTATCGTTGAGCTTGGTGGTATTTCTAGGGGTGTGTGTGTTGATGAAGGAGTTGCTATGATAGAAATGTGCACGATGGCATGGTTATATGCATATATATCTGTAAATTAATGAGTACGTATTTAAAGACTCATAAATATATGCGCGTTTATGACAAATTTTTATATGCAGGATCGTTCATTCATAACTAGTGTTCCATGCGTACGCACGTGTCGAAATTATCTATATACCTTCCTATGAAAATATACATATTGACTATGCTTTTGGAATCATTTATACATTTTAAATTGTATCTATTTACCAATATGGTAATAAATTTTGTATCGGAGTACAGCCAAGTTACTAACGCACGTTTTTATTGATATACATGTGTACATATATAGATGTTGAGATCTCACTTTGGTTTTCTAGTATGAGTATGTTTGAATATACCTGTATCTTTCAATTCATTTTTTAATTACGCTCGAGGTTCCTGGCTGCTTCGCGTCGGTATACACCAATCCACATCTTGCTGTAGCCTTGTACATGCGCAATAAGTAGTCGAAAAATGGTCCAAATCCACAAGGGGAACTTGGGCAATAGTGACTGGCCACTTACTGTGTTTAACCATTAAATTTTGATGACTACACAATTGTACTGTCAATTTAAAGCAGATCCCGCGACCGTCAACAGCTGATGTAGAGGCTATGCCACATGCCACGAGGCCGACAGCATTAGACTACGTGCTCGCAGGCGTAGTCATCGACAGACAACGCGACCGTTGCATTGCGAAAAATGTCACTCCTTCTCATCGTACCGTGGACGAAGTCGTCAAAATGTATGACATTGTCCGACGAGCTCGTGAGTGTAATGGTGCAGCCGTGATTTCGGTCAAAACTTCGCTCACTTGTCGCAGTCTACTGAAGGCATCGTTAACGCATCATTGCCTATATATTTGTTAATGGTGCTCCTTGTGCAACACAATATACAGGATTGTTCGGATGAAGTGCAATAATTTCAGCATCTGGAATGAGCTGCTGGTGCCAGTGGGCAGTGGGTGTTATCCAGCCGGCGCTCTGTTAAATCATTCATGCGAGCCCGACTGTATCATCACGTACGATTTAGATACGAAAGTACAGACATTCCGGGCGATAAAAACGATTGAACCTGGTTGTGAGGTGTGTGCCATAACCGCAAGAATATTTAGAGTGGACATTTATGACTACCCTAACATCACTACCACTTGTTACAGGATAAATATTGCACGCGTGAATCTAACCCACAGTTTGGCAAGTAGTTGGCTTTATTTTGCAGTGCGAGTATGAAGCCGAGAAGTTCTTCGTGCTTGCTTGATCACATCATGGGCGATACTGTATTGTGTGATTGTGTGGAGGGCTCCAGATTATCATCTCCTGGCCAGTGTCTTGTTCTTTTCGTCCCTTTTCAAGCTGTAGCATTCCAATTCAAGCACGCCAAGAAAATATGTACCGATATGTAACTAGAAAATAGAGACTGTTCTGATCAATTGGATTTCAGCCGATTTTATCTAACCAATGTTTATTATAATTTTATCTAACGAAAAGGTGTTTATTATAATTGTATCTAACAAATGTTTATTATAATTTTATCTGACCAATATTTATTAATGTTGGTTGTGGTGCGCAGGTCACACATTCGTACTTGGACATAGCGGAAGCAACGAGTCAGAGGCGCGAGTACCTGTTGCATCATTATGGGTTTGAGTGCGCGTGCCCTCGCTGTGAGGCGGCAGATCAGACTCTTAATGATTCGCTTCACGCTGCTATTTCATCGGAAGCAGCCGGTGACTGGACCGGCTGTGACTCCCAACGTTTGGATGCGGCTAAGCAGCTCATAGGTGAAGTCTGTCCAAGCGTTGTTGCTCATATACTGGTTGCACCTACATTCTGTTCTAAATGGATAGAAAGTGCTGGAATTGCAATCTCGATTGAAATGTGCCAGAGTATCCTCAGGCAACGAGTCACTTAAACTCCTAAATAACGTCTACCTGCTGGATTGGTCTGAAACAGATCACTGGCAATTGCCCCACTTGCATTGCGGGTGAGCCCTGAAGTCAGTGGTGTGTTTGCGCATGCAAGTGTGCTCGAGCAGCACATGCTCGTCCTGATATCCAGAAATCAGACAATTCTGGGGTATTGTATTCAGTCGTTATCAAGCTCAACCAGAGGTGAACTATCACCGCCCAATTTGATGAATTTTTACGATCCTTTTGATTATTAAGGATGATTCGACGAATTGAGTAGCGGTGTCTACCGCTACAGGCTGCCGAAGTATCATGTCTATGTTGTTTATTGTGTTACCTCTAAAATCCTAAACCCTAACACCTATGAATACCTGTCGCTACCCACAGCCAAAGTTGCAAATGGAGAGTTGGACCTGGAGGAGACGGGGAGAGAAATCGAGATGCTCGAGAACGCGTTGAGTATGCATACCAAATACTTACACAGACACAATCTGCATCGCTTAAAGTGTCTGTGCACCTTACACACGTCGTACCTGTCGTACGGATTGTTCGCTAAGGACGTTGCCGTACTGAACGAAATAGTGCACGTATACACCGAGGTGTATCCCACAAACCATCCCATGATAGGGCTAATGCAGTACACTCTGGGCGACGTGTTGATGGCTGTGGCCCAGGAACAACGTGGCCAGCAACTGCGCACGACGTTTGAAGCGGCGCTGGTTTCGTACAGGTGTGTGGTCTTTCGTGTGGCTGAGTGTTTTTTTCTGCCGTTTGCCGCAGTTTTCAATCATATCAATAAAATGGCGTCCGCGTACTGTCATTAACGTTGATAGCAGAGCAGTGCTGTTGGATACACTACGTAGAAATTGAATGCGTTTAGTACGGATTCCATGTCTTCCGTTGGTTGTGCAATGAGTCGAGGCTGTCGCGTTCTTTTTGTAATTCTCATCGATACAGTTCCCTCACTCGTTGCGCCGCACAGACGAGCACTTCAGACGCTGACCATTTCGCACGGCGCTGAGAGTGAGCTATGTCGCAATCTGCATGGCCTCATACAGCAACACAGCTACAGTCCATAGTCTCACAAAAATGGCTGCTGCGGTCGTTAAGCCACTACATTCATAGCCAAGGGGACGCGCCTTGTTGGTGTAGCGTCGATGTGCAGCTAAGGCCAGAGATCGATGCTCATCACCGCTTGCATGTCGTACTGCGTCACTCTGACGCGCTACCTACGTTAGACCCATTTGTATCTCATATGCTACCTACGTTAGACCCATTTGTATGTCATGAAGGGCAGCTGGGTCAAGTGAATGCGGTCTCACAAGCGCATAGGCTTAAGTGCATGAGTGCGCAATAGTACTGCTGGCGATCACTTTCACTACCTTGGTATTACTGTCGCATTAGCAACCACACGTCACAAGAACCAGTGGCACAAGCACAGTGGCACAAGCATAGTGGCATGCACTCAGGCAATCTCTCGCGTACCTACGAAGCGGTTGCGGAACAGCAACGAGCGAGAAGCAACGTGTGGCTCAAAGACTGCAAGATAGTGTCAGCGATAGAGACGCGGACGAGAGGACTGATACGCTGGCGAATGGGGATGTACTCCTCTAGGGTTATGACTGAATGTGCTCCTCTAGGGTTATGACATGCCGTGGAGGTGTTTCACGAATCTGCTTCTAATTGGAGATGGGAGATATCGCTTACTCCAATGTCCAACGTATGCGACATTCACTTAGCGCTATGTAAACCACAACCAGCACATCTGCGCTCAATATGACTGTACAAGGCACAATGCCGAAACAGTTTCTGTATTTTTGCTCAGAGGAGAAACGGACAGCGCCGCTAGACACCTGCACGTCCATGAGTGCAACCATCATGGATAGCTAGCCGTGATGCACGCAGCCATGCCACTGTGAATAGTTACTGTAACCATCAAGGCTAGCTTAGCCGTGATGCACGCAGCCATGCCACTGTGAATAGTTACAGCAACCATCATGGCTAGCTTAGCCGTGATGCACGCAGCCATGCCACTGTGAATAGTTGCAGCAACCATCTTGGCTAGCTTAGCCGTGATGCACGCAGCCATGCCACTGTGAATAGTTACAGCAACCATCATGGCTAGCTTAGCCGTGATGCACGCAGCCATGCCACTGTGAATAGTTATAGGTGTTAGCTCGGAATGAATTCCAGCATATTCCAATGTCCGGTAGGAGTCGCACCACTTCCCACGGGTCATGCAACGGCACACTCAAGTCTTCTGAATGCAACACTCCGTTCTGGATCAAGGGATGGAGCATGAGAGCTTCTCGTGTCTATATCGAGGGCTAATTCACAGTTTAAACCTATTAAGCGACAATCAGCGAAGTTAAACCTATTAAGCGACATTCAGCGAAGTTAAATCTATTAAGCGACAATCAGCGAAGTCTGTATGTGAAAGGACAATCCAAAGGGAACTCAGCCTCATTGGAAGCTAGACTGTAGTACTGTTCCCTGTAGATAAATTAAAATTAAAAATAAAAATAAAAATCAAAATCAAAATTTAAAATAAAATAAAATTTAAATTTAAATTTAAAATTAAATTAGCCCTTCATGGCCCAACATCGCTCGTCAGATGTGTTGAATACGAATCCATCTCATCCTGGACGAAACACCGATGTCCAAAATATTTCGTGGTTTCGAAAAAGTGCGCACCAACCCTGCTACGCCGAGTTTAAACTGGTCAGTCGGTTCTATTTGCTGTCGCAATTAACATCATTGGGATTAGTTTTTTATATTTTGTCGTATTTGTGTTTATCCACCGCTCGTAGCCGTACCTCGCACTATGCGCGCTACAGAATATAACCTGATCTGTATTTATAGACACGAGTCGCGTAAAGGTTTTGCTTGTCCTATCCTGATACCCTGTGAAAACCCTGAAACAGAACTCCTACTGGTTCGGCTTCGCCTAAGTCTCGGTTATTAATGGTAGCTGCAGTTGGTACACACACTACGAAGTGATCAATTCTAGTATCTCCGAGTTACTTCCAATGGATTGATGCGATATTTTGTAGCGTTTATTGACAGTGTTTGTGCACGACGATTGATGGCACACATCATTTGCCGCCACACTCTGAAAGCATTTCCTGGCGATAGCTTAGGGATTAGTGTCCATTCCTTGCACTCGTGCTGTTTGGTGCAATTATGAGTAGGACGATGCCTTACAACCCCCTCGCAAGTGATAAAGCGTTTATTTCAATCCACCGTTCACGTGGGCGTATGATGCACGATGGAGGCTATGTGCTCCGTATCTGTGTGCGATAGGCTCTCGTCCTGTTTGTCTTAGTTATAGGGCTGCCATCGGTACGCTACAATTGAGGCAATGTCTGATGTGTGAGATTGCACGTTAACTCTCAATCACTTCTATGGCATCGCCCAATGCCTTGTTGGGCTTCTTGGTCTGTCCCTTAATTAGATTTGGTGTTTTGACTTGGAAATGCGTGCGCATGTGGTCCTCGAATAGCGTAGCGGTGTCCATTATGTCATTCATTAGTGTTGTGCGATCGGGATGCATGTCCTTTTCGCTATATTGTCTGTGGAAATAGAAATATAAAGCACACATTTCCAAATTTAGTTCGGTGTTGAGCCGGCCAGCTCTTGATGTTTGGAACAAAGAATATAAATTTAGATATCATATTTCCATTGGCATTTCATTCGAATCTGTGGCGCGTGCGAACGAAAGCGATGTGGCCTCGACATGTGAATATGGTCCTATCTGTAACGAGAAAAGTAAACACTCTCAGTCCTATCTGCAACGAGAAAAGTAAACACTCCCAATCCTATCTGTAACGAGAAAAGTAAACACTCTCAGTCCTATCTATAACGAGAAAAGTAAACTCTCCTAGTCTTATCTATAACGAGAAAAGTAAACACTCCTAGTCCTATCTATAACGAGAAAAGTAAACACTCCCAGTCATATCTATAACGAGAAAAGTAAACACTCCCAGTCCTATCTATAACGAGAAAAGCAAACACTCCCAGTCCTATCTATACCGAGAAAAGTAAACACTCCCACCGACGCACTGGACCTCTACAGAGCGCATTGTACAGCAGATAGTAATCTGTCGAACTATACACAGCACATCGATCTGTTGACGATCAATTGTAGCTCACCATTGGTGGTTACTTTGGTTGATACTTTGGATGTTACCTTGTTTGTTACCTTGTTTGTTACTCACCTATCGTTGTAGTGATATGCGATGAGATGCGACAAGTACTGTGCTGTGCGGTCAGTGACCTTCACCATATGGCCACCCTATTGTAGTAAGACAGCGGGGAAAAGTCACGAGTTTTGATGAATACTTTCTTTCAGTTGAGAAGTGGACTTAGTTGAACGACACCCACTTCAAGAAATGGCTAAATGTGGTCAGTGACAGCTACGCAGTCAATAGAGGGGAAAATCGACTCGCAGGACTACACGCGAGAGCATAGCGGTGATGCAAACCCTTACCTTAGCAGCACCCAGACGGGAGATGAAGTCAGGGTGTAATGTGTTGATGTGGATCTGGTTGCCCACCATCACAGATCGATGAAGTGGCTGGTCTTCAGCTGCTGGCATCTCTATGAACCTAAATGAGTGGAAGTATGAGTGATTGAAATGTATGAGTGGAAGTAAGAGTGACTAAAACCTACTTGAGAGGAAGTGAGAGTGATTCAAACCCATACGAGAGGAAGTGAGAGTGATTAAATGGGCCAAGCCGATCCGGAGAAAAAAATTCTTCGGCAGATCAGTAATTTTCAGGAAACCGGTGTTGGCACCAAAAGAGGTGATGTGAACAATACTATCTGCTGCTAAAAACCCTAAAACTGCATCTGGATCATTATAAGCCATGTGACCAGACAATTGCACCTACTGCATCTGGATCATTATAAGCCATGTGACCAGACAATTGCACCTACTGCATCTGGATCATTATAAGCCATATGACCAGACAATTGCATTTACTGCATCTGGATCATTATAAGCCATGTGACCAGACAATTGCACTTACTGCATCTGGATCATTATAAACCATGTGGCCAGTCAATTGCACTTACTGCATCTGGATCATTATAAACCATGTGGCCAGACAATTGCACGTATTGCATCTGGATCATTATAAACCATGTGACCGGACAATTGCATCTGTTGCATCTGAACCATTATAAACCATGTGGCCAGACAATTACACCTACTGCATCTGAA